TTAGGTGTTTTCCAGTTAGTGTAAAGAATTATACTTACAAATTCGGATTTAGCAAGTGAGTGGTAACACTTCTTTCCGTATCTATGAAACGCACTTGTATCTCTATGCCCGGCATAAAGACTTTGCGTTGAAATGAGGTAAATTTAATACTGGGCCCATATAAACGCGTAAAAGGTATCACTGTCAAACGCCTCAACTCCACATCATCCTCATCGAATTCATCATCATCTGTGCCTTCTTTACGTTCCACTAATACGGGTTTATCACCGCCTATCGATAGTATGGTTAACGAATCGGGTATTATCAAACCTTCATCGTATTCAGCTTCTATCATGGAAAACTGGAAATCTGGCAAACAACCGGAATGATCATGTTGCTCCACACTATTTATGCTATCCACAGTGCTATTGTGTTCAGAAGTTTCTCGGGTTTTGACAATTGATCGCTCGTCAGCACGCTGCAGTGTATTATTCTCCGCCATATTATTAGCACTTGCTGTTGTCGCATCAAATTGTCCATACATATAATTGTAGTTTAATTCATCGTACTGATATCCCTGATTTGTTATGCCTTCATTACGTTCATTGAAATCATAATCTATTGGAATAGAAAGAAAATGGCGAGTTTTTGAAATTGTAATGAAATATAATTTTACAAAGATCGAACATAAATCGATCGATTTCCGATCTAATCAATTGAAATAAACTACAATTCATTTTATGTATTTTCGAACGTAAAAGCGAATTCAGCTATAAAACTAGCTATACCCAGTGTGCTCTGCTACCCTAAAAACAGTATAAATAAAAACCGCACTTTACGATTTTTGAAGATTCTAGTTCTATTAGTTTCCCAGTTATACGTATTTTTATTTTAATCCATATGGTAGGTACCATAGCCCCTTTTGATAGTCCACAATAGGGGTATCTCCTACGTTCACATGAATGTGAAAATTCTTTGTGCAAAATTTTAGGATTCTAGATGCAAATATTCACATGTCAGAGTTGTTAGCGCAAAATTTAATAGTTTCTCAGATATACAATTTTTTGTATTTAATTCATATGAGAGGTTTTAAGAACCCCAAATGAATGTCCGCACATTTTACTTCCAAATGTTCACTTTTATGTTAATTTTAAGATTCTACCTCTAATAGTTTCCAGATAAACGAATTTTTTTATTTAATTCATAGGGAGGTACCACGGACCCTATTGCTAGTCCGCCAATTTTTCCTCCAAAATGTTCACATAGATGTTAAAGTGCCTCGTGCAAAATTTAAAGATTCCATAGTCTATAGTCTAGTCTATAGTCTAGTCTATAGTCTAGTCTATAGTCTAGTCTATAGTCTAGTCTATAGTCTAGTCTATAGTCTAGTCTATAGTCTAGTCTATAGTCTAGTCTATAGTCTAGTCTATAGTCTAGTCTATAATCTAGTCTATAGTCTAGTCTATAGTATAGTCTATAGTCTAGTCTATAGTCTAGTCTATAGTCTAGTCTATAGTCTAGTCTATAGTCTAGTCTATAGTCTAGTCTATAGTCTAGTCTATAGTCTAGTTAGTATATAGTCTAGTCTATAGTCTAGTCTATAGTCTAGTCTATAGTCTAGTCTATAGTCTAGTCATATTTGGTCTATAGTCTAGTCTATAGTTTGAGTCTGAGTCTGTCTATAGTTTGGTCTTAAGTCTAGTTATAGTATAGTCTATATTTAGTCTAAGTCTAGGTTTGTATAGTCTATAGTCTATAGTCTAGGTCTATAGTCTATAGTATATTCTAGAGACGTTAGTCTAATTCTAGTCTATAGTAGTCTAAAGTCTAGGTCATGTTATCCTATCGTTAGTCTTAGTCTAGTCTATCGTTTAGTATATAGTCTGACAGTGTCTAGTCTAGGCTCTAAGCTAGGATAGTGTAATCTAGTCTATAGTATAGTCTATGGTCTAGTCTAGAGTCGAGTTTATCGTTTAGTCTATCGTTTAGTCTATAGACTAGTCTATAGTCCAGTTTATAGTCTAGTCTAGCCTATATTCTAGTCTATGTCCAGTCTATAGTTAGTCTATAGTCTAGTCTATAGTCCAGTCTATAGTCTAGTCTATAGTCTAGTCTATAGTCTAGTCTATAGTCTAGTCTATAGTCTAGTCTATAGTCTAGTCTATAGTCTAGTCTATAGCCTAGTCTATAGCCTAGTCTATAGTCTAGTCTATAGTCTAGTCTATAGTCTAGTCTATAGTCTAGTCTATAGTCTAGTCTATAGTCTAGTCTATAGTCTAGTCTATAGTCTAGTCTATAGTCTAGTCTATAGCCTAGTCTATAGCCTAGTCTATAGTCTAGTCTATAGTCTAGTCTATAGTCTAGTCTATAGTCTAGTCTATAGTCTAGTCTATAGTCTAGTCTATAGTCTAGTCTATAGTCTAGTCTATAGTCTAGTCTATAGTCTAGTCTATAGTCTAGTCTATAGTCTAGTCTATAGTCTAGTCTATAGTCTAGTCTATAGTCTAGTCTAGTCTATAGTCTAGTCTATAGTCTAGTCTATAGTCTAGTCTAGTCTATAGTCTAGTCTATAGTCTAGTCTATAGTCTAGTCTAGTCTAGTCTATAGTCTAGTCTATAGTCTAGTCTATAGTCTAGTCTATAGTCTAGTCTATAGTCTAGTCTATAGTCTAGTCTATAGTCTAGTCTATAGTCTAGTCTATAGTCTAGTCTATAGTCTAGTCTATAGTCTAGTCTATAGTCTAGTCTATAGTCTAGTCTATAGTCTAGTCTATAGTCTAGTCTATAGTCCAGTCTATAGTCTAGTCTATAGTCTAGTCTATAGTCTAGTCTATAGTCTAGTCTATAGTCTAGTCTATAGTCTAGTCTATAGTCTAGTCTATAGTCTAGTCTATAGTCTAGTCTATAGTCTAGTCTATAGTCTAGTCTATAGTCTAGTCTATAGTCTAGTCTATAGTCTAGTCTATAGTCTAGTCTATAGTCTAGTCTATAGTCTAGTCTATAGTCTAGTCTATAGTCTAGTCTATAGTCTAGTCTATAGTCTAGTCTATAGTCTAGTCTATGTCTATAGTCTAGTCTATAGTCTAGTCTATAGTCTAGTCTATAGTCTAGGTCCTATAGTCTAGTCTATAGTCTAGTCTATAGTCTAGTCTATAGTCTAGTCTATAGTCTAGTCTATAGTCTAGTCTATAGTCTAGTCTATAGTCTAGTCTATTAGTCTAGTCTATAGTCTAGTCTATAGTCTAGTCTACAGTCAGTCTATAGTCTAGTCCTATAGTCTAGTCTATAGTCTAGTCTATAGTCTAGTCTATAGTCCTAGTCTATAGTCTAGTCTATAGTCTAGTCTATAGTCTAGTCTATAGTCTAGTCTATAGTCTAGTCTATAGTCTAGTCTATAGTCTAGTCCTATAGTCTAGTCTTAGTCTAGTCTATAGTCTAGTCTATAGTCTAGTCTATAGCCTAGTCTATAGTCTAGTCTACTAGTCTAGTCTACTAGTCTATAGTCTAGTCTATAGTCTAGTCTACTAGTCTAGTCTATAGTCTAGTCTATAGTCTAGTCTATAGTCTAGTCTAGTAGTCTAGTCTATAGTCTAGTCTATAGTCTAGTCTATAGTCTAGTCTATAGTCTAGTCTATAGTCTAGTCTATAGTCTAGTCTATAGTCTAGTTATAGTCTAGTCTATAGTCTAGTCTATAGTCTAGTCTATAGTCTAGTCTATAGTCTAGTCCTAATCGTTTAGTGTGTAGTCTAGTCTAGTGTCTAGTCTATAATCTAGTCTATAGTATAGTCTATAGTCTAGTATATTGTCTAGTCTATAGTCTAGTCCATAGTCCTGTCTATAGTCTAGTCTATGGTCTAGTCTATAGTCTAGTCTATAGTCTAGTCTATAGTCTAGTCTTTAGTCTAGTCTATGGTCTAGTCGAAAGTCTAGTCTATAGTCTGGTCTATAGTCTAGTCTATCGTTTAGTCTATATACCAGTCTATAATCTAGTTTATAGTCTAGTCTAGTCTAAAGTCTAGTCTATAGTCTGGTCTATAGTCTAGTCTATCGTTTTAGTCTATAGTATAGTCTATCGTTTAGTCTATAGACTAGTCTATAGTCTAGTTTATGGTCTAGTCTATATTCTAGTCTATAGTCCAGTCTATAGTCCAGTCTAGTATATAATCTACAGTCTAGTCTATAGTGTAGTTTATAACCTAGTCTATAGTCTAGCCTATAGTCTAGTCTATAAACTAGTCTATAGTTTAGTCTATAGGCTGTAGGCTAGTCTAGTCTATAAACTAGTCTATAGTTTAGTATATAGTTTAGTCTATAATATAGATTATAGTTTAGTCTATAGTCTAGCCTAGATTCTAGTTTATAGTCTAGTGTACTCTATAGTTTAGTGCATAGTTTGGTCTATAATCTATCCTATTTTCTAGTCTCTAGTCTAGTCTATTCTATATTCTAGTCTATGATCTAGGACTGAATTGTTCAGTCCTAGTTCAGTTACAGTTCAATTCTATTTTAATTTTAGTTCAGTTCTAGTTTAGTTCTATGACAATTCTAGTTCCAGTTTAGTTCTGATTTAATTCAGTTACAGTTCTAGTGCAGTTCTCTAACTTGTTTTAAAGTTATCATGTTTTAATAAAATAAAACAGAAAGTTATGACTCAAGTAATATAGATATATTAATTTTAAATATAAAGCATTATTATTTTTATAGTAATCGGACCGCAAATTAAAAAAAAAAAAAAAACTTTTATTAAAAGTTTGTGCAGAAACATTTCAATATTATAGTACAAGTTTAACACTTTCTCAGTGATCAATTATCGGAAAATAATATGGAAAATTATTTCAATATTACTGATGTTACAAGTTTTTGGGCTCATAGTCAGGTGGGTTCAAGAAATTTATAAATTTTATTGTGTTTAAACCGATAAAAATACAACAAATGATTTCATCTAACAGGTTCAACTACATGAGGCCTTTATTAATCGTGATATTTTCAAATTTCGTAGCGCCTTAAAACAAGGAGCTAACCCTTTAGCAACAATACCTACTGAGCAAGATGTGTGTGTCTTGTTTAAGGCTTTGCAAACGTCTGGTTGTTCGTTATTTGTAGAGGCCTGCATGCGTTGCTCGCATAAACCAACAAATGTGAGTGAGGGGGGAGTGTTTTAAACAAGATTTTTGATACGATTTTTGCTTAATATATTTTTTAGCTAAACGATTTTTATAAAAAAGCTATACATTTTGCATGCGCTTCGGAAGATTGTGAACTTTTATTAACGCTTTATCGCTCAAGTGATGTTAAAATCAGACGTAAATATTTTACTTTATTTGCCCTTACCAGCTTGGCTTGGAATTGGGGCATTTCACAAAATGTACCCGATCAGGAGGAAATGACTCCTTTACATTATGTGGTGATAAATAATAATCTAAATGAAGACATACGACGTAAAATCGTTAAAATGTTTTTGTCTCAAAGTAACATCGATATTGATACCTTTCGGGGGGGTGAGTTAAGAAGAATATTAGAAAGGAAATATCCTGATGTGTTAATGCCCATGAAGATAACAACAGTTCAATCTTTAAAGAATCGTTTAATAGCGGGAAATTTGGATTTATTTGTACAACAGTATACGAATAATCTTAATAATATTAACGAGAATGAAAAGTGGGAATTATTATTGGAATCTATAATACGAGAAGCCCACAAAGCCTTTGTGGTAATCTTATCTAGTGGCGTCAACTATAATAAAGAGGCAGATTTTTCAAACGCTCATATTCACAGCAATACTGGTAATAGTTCATTGTCTGAACATTACGAAATTCCTATGACAAATTTTACGGCCTTTCAGGTGGCCTGTAAATCGGGCAATACTTATGCCTTGGAAAAACTTTTACAAATGCCTGATATAAGAATTGATGACAATACTTTACAGCAATTTATACCTTTAATGATATATCATGTTAAATTTTCGGTTTCACTTTATCAGAACTATTGGGATTGTTTTCAATTGTTATTGGATTCCGGTAAGATCGACATCAATTCTATAGATCAACATAAACGCACCGCTCTTCATTATGCCATAGAATATCAAAAGGATGAATTGATAAAAATACTTTTGAAAAAAGGAGCTTATATTAATGTGGGTAAGGGTGAACATGAGCTACCTCTAAATAGTCTACAACCCTCATTATTGGAACAACATTTGGATGACTGTATAACCTCGAATAATCTTAATTTGGGCGAAAAAGCTTATGAAATAAAAATAAGTTTTAAGAATTTTATAACTTCCCAGCAAAGGTGTGAAAAGAAATTGAAAGAAGTTTTAACGCCCATCCAATGTATGGTCAAGTCCAAAGAACATTGCTATCTGCTGCAACATCCAGTTATATCTAGTATTTTACATCTTAAATGGCAAAAAGTCTCTCAGATATTCTATATAAACTTTCTACTCAGTTTGTTCTTTATCGCCTCCATTATAGCTTATATAGTCTTGAACTTTAGTGAGACAAAGCATGGAACTGCTTTAAATATTTCCTACATCTGTAGCTGTTTGGGCATTACTTATTTGCTTCTAAGGGAATGTTTACAATTTATATTAGCTCCCTGTAAGTATTTGAAGTCGTTTACCAATTATTTGGAAATATTGTTGATAATATTCTCCATATTAATTTGTTACTATAAAAATCGGGACTTGGAGGTGGCTTGTATTTTACTCTTAGCCTTTGAGTTGCTTTCCTTAGTGGGTTCTCTGCCCATTGATTCCATTTCTACTCACATGCTAATGCTAAAAACAGTATCGAAAAGTTTTGCCAAATGTTTTCTCTTTTACTCGATTTTCTTATTCACTTTTACTTTGTGTTTCTATATCAAAAGTGATGAAGCCTCTAAGGAGAAAAAATCCGTCAATAGATTTTCTGATCCTTTGTTGGCCTTCTTCAAAACGATTGTCATGTTTATTGGAGAGATTGATGCCGAAGATTTAAATCTCAACTCGGGCTTTAATTGTTTACTTTTTCTATCCTTCATTTTCTTTATGACCATTATTTTGTTTAATCTTCTTAATGGTCTGGCGGTAAGTGATACCCAAGCCATTCGTAATCAAGCCGAATTGAATGGTGTTATTTGTCGCAGCAACTTGTTGTCGGGTCTTGAAAATGTCTACATCAAATGGTCTGAATTCATTTGCTGTATGTATAATCCTTTTGATTTCGTCCCTAACTACACCACCGATATTGAGGTCATCTTTCGGCCCAATGATAAAAATAAAATTATCAGTCATAAAACTATTTCTTCTTCATTCCATAACTGGTTTCATTATCTCTCCAATAGATGCCCTACCATGGATAAGCATACGTCTGTACGAGCTTTGGCCATTTTAAAGAGAAAATCTGCTAAGAATGAAAAAGTCATTAGGGATGAGAAACTTAATTTAATTTTAAAAAAGTTGTCATTTAAAAATTAAAAAATTTATAAGCAAATAATATTGTTAAAATAAATAAAACGTAATAAAGTAATTAAATCCATAGTTAATGTTTCAAAAGATTAGGCTATTGACTAACTATAGACTGGACTTAAGACTACTCTATAGACTAGACTATAAACTAGACTACAATATATATTAAACTATAGACTATAAAGTATTACTATAAAAATAATATTACTTGAGTCATAACTTTCTGTGTTATATTATTGAAACATGATATCTAAAAAACAAGTTAAAGAGCTCCACTAGAACTGTAACAGAATTAAACTAGAACTATCATAGAACTAAATTAGAACTGACCGAGAACTGAACTAAAATTAAAATAGAAATGGCCCTGAACTGGAACTGTACTAGAAATGAACTATAACTGAACTAGGACTTAACTGTTTCGTTCTAGTTGTAGTACAGTTCAAGTTCAGGACAGAAACTGAATTCGAACTGAACTAAAATCGAACTAGAACTGAACTGGAACTGAACTAGAATTGAACTAGACCTGAACTAGAACTGAACTAGAACTAGAACTGAACTAGAACTGAACTAGAACTGAACTAGAACTGAACTAGAACTGAACTAGAACTGAACTAGAACTGAACTAGAACTGAACTGAACTAGAACTGAACTAGAACTGAACTAGAACTGACTAGAACTGAACTAGAACTGAACTAGAACTGAACTAGAACTGAACTAGAACTGAACTAGAACTAGAACTGAACTAGAACTGAACTAGAACTGAACTAGAACTGAACTAGAACTGAACTAGAACTGAACTAGAACTGAACTAGAACTGAACTAGAACTGAACTAGAACTGAACTAGAACTGAACTAGAACTGAACTAGAACTGAACTAGAACTGAACTAGAACTGAACTAGAACTGAACTAGAACTGAACTAGAACTGAACTAGAACTGAACTAGAACTGAACTAGAACTGAACTAGAACTGAACTAGAACTGAACTAGAACTGAACTAGAACTGAACTAGAACTGAACTAGAACTGAACTAGAACTGAACTAGAACTGAACTAGAACTGAACTAGAACTGAACTAGAACTGAACTAGAACTGAACTAGAACTGAACTAGAACTGAACTAGAACTGAACTAGAACTGAACTAGAACTGAACTAGAACTGAACTAGAACTGAACTAGAACTGACTAGACTGAACTAGAACTGAACTAGAACTGAACTAGAACTGAACTAGAACTGAAACTAGAACTGAACTAGAACTGAACTAGAACTGAACTAGAACTGAACTGGAACTGAACTAGAACTGACTAGAACTGACTACAACTGAACTAGAACTGAACTACACTGAGCTACAACTGAACTAGAACTGAACTAGAACTGAACTAGAACTGAACTAGAACTGAACTAGAACTAGAACTAGAACTGAACTAGAACTGAACTAGAACTGAACTAGAACTGACTAGAACTGAACTAGAACTGAACTAGAACTGAACTAGAACTGAACTAGAACTAGAACTAGACTGAACTAGAACTGAACTAGAACTGAACTAGAACTGAACTAGAACTGAACTAGAACTGAACTAGAACTGAACTAGAACTGAACTAGAACTGAACTAGAACTGAACTAGAACTGAACTAGAACTGAACTAGAACTGAACTAGAACTAGAACTGAACTAGAACTGAACTAGAACTAGAACTGAACTAGAACTGAACTAGAACTGAACTAGAACTGAACTAGAACTGAACTAGAACTGAACTAGAACTGAACTAGAACTAGAACTGAACTAGAACTGACCTAGAACTGAACTAGAACTGAACTAGAACTGAACTAGAACTGAACTAGAACTGAACTAGAACTGAACTAGAACTGAACTAGAACTGAACTAGAACTGAGCTAGAACTGAACTAGAACTGAACTAGAACTGAACTAGAACTAAACTAGAACTGAACTAGAACTGAACTAGAACTGAACTAGAACTGAACTAGAACTGAACTAGAGCTGAACTAGAACAGAACTAGAACTAAACTAGGACTGAACTAGAAATGAACTAGAACTGTACTAGAACTAAACTAGAACTGTCCTAGAAATGAACAAGAATTAGAACTGAACTAGAACTGAACTTGAACTGAACTAAAATAAATCGATTGAATACATTCCACTTGCATATAGATTTTCTAACTTTATTAATAGATGAGAAAATTTCTTAATTTTGTAAAGAAAACTTTTGTAAAAGTATATTTAGTTTCTCATTCATAATATGTAATGGATATTTTTCATGTTGAGCATATTTTTTCTTGAGAATTTTTAACGCTTCCACCGAGGTATGTTCATCAATTGTCAGACAGCTTTTCTTTGGACCCTTAATAAGCTGTTCACTATTTTCCATTAGAATCACAGTTGTATTATGGTCTTTATCGTGGATTTTATTAAGATTTTTTACTGTTTTCGTAGCTGAATAACAGATTTTATTTTTGTCATTTGGCAAAAAGATAACTTCAATATCGGTTGCGTAATCGGGTACAAAGTGCGAAGAAAGTTTACATATAAAACGAAATGGTTGTTGTTTTAATAAGGTGGCCAGATATTTGGTACGTTTTAGGACAACACTTTCAAAACTGGACAATAGTTGGATGCGACAAATAACACCATTCAATTCGGCTTGATTTCTAATGGCCTGGGTATCACTTACCGCCAGACCATTAAGTAGATTGAATAATATGATGGTCATAAAGAAAATGAACGATAGAAATAGTAGCCAACTATAGCTGGAGTTTAGATTCAAATTACTGGCATCAATTTCGCCAATAAACATAACTATGGTTTTGAAAAAGGCCAAAAATGGATTAGAGAATCTATTAAATTCCTCTTCTTTGTTGTCATTCTTTGTTATATGGTTCTGGTCCTGCTCTTCACTTTTTATATAGAAACACAGGGTAAAGGTGAATAAGAATATAGAGTAAAAGATAAAACTTTTGGCAAAACTTCTACACACAGCCTTTAGCATTAGCATGTGAGTAGAAATGGAGGCAATGGGCAGAGAACCCACCAATGAAAGCAACTCAAAGGCCAAGAGTAAAATACAAGCCACCTCCAGGTCCCGATTATTATAGTAACAAATTAATATGGAGAAGATTATTAATAATATTTCCAAATAATTGGTTAATGATTTCTTTACATACTTCCAGGGAGCTACGATAAATTGTACACATTCTCGGAGAATCAAATAAGTAATACCTAACCAGCAACAGATATAAGATATTCTTAAGGCTGTTTCTTGCTTATAACCTTGAAAGTTCAAGACTATATGGGTTATAATGGAAACGATAAAGAATAAACTAAGTAAGAAGTTTATATAGAATATCTGAGAGACTTTTTGCCATTTAAGATATAGAATACTCGATATAACTGGATGTTGCAGTAGGTAACAATGTTCTTTGGACTTGGCCATACATTTGAGGGGCGTTAAAACTTCTTTCAATTTCTTTTCACTTTTTTGCTGGGAAGTTATGAAATTTTTAAAACTTATTTTAATTTCATATTCTTTTTCACCCATATTGAGATTATTGGAACTTATGCAGTCATCTAAATGTTCTTCCAATAAAGAGGGCATTAGGCTATTAAGGGGTAGCTCATGTTCTCCCTTACCCACATTAATATAAGCTCCTTTTCTTAGTAAAGCTTTTATCAATTCATCCTTTTGATATTCTATGGCATAATGAAGAGCGGTACGTTTATGTTGATCCAGGGAATTGATATCGATCTTTGGCGAATCCAATAATAGTTGAAAACAATCCCAATAGTTTTGATAAAGCGCCACCGAGGATTTAACACGATGTATCATTAGTTGTATAAATTGTTGTAGGGTATTGGTCTCGATCTCTATATCGGGTATTTGCAAAAGTTTTTCCAAGGCATAGGCATTGCCAGTATTACAGGCAAATTGAAAAGGTGTAAAATTTAAGGCAGGCATTTTGAATAGCTGAGGCAAAGTGTTATACTTTACTGATTTGCCCGGTAGGCGGGTTGAGGAAAAATTGGCCTTTTCATTATATTTCACGCCTTTGGTTAGTATTATATCAAAAGCTTTATGTGCCTCTTCTTTTATGGATTCCAATAATAATTGTAATTGTTCATTATTGTTAATCTTATTAACATTATCTATATACTGTTGTTTAAATAAATCCATATTACCCGCTATTAAACGATTCATTAAAGATTGAAATATACTAATCCTTCTCGGTAATATCAGATCAGAATATTTGTTTTCTAATATTCTTCTTAATTCACCCCCACGAAAGGTATCGATATCAATGTTACTTTGTGCTAAAAACATTTTAACAATTTCTCGCTTTATATCCTCATTGAGATCATTATTTTCCACCACATAATGCAAAGCAGTCATTTCTTTATGATCGGGTACATTTTCCGATATACCCCAAAGTAAAACAGTTCGTATACGTTTTTGTATTTCAGGGGCATTTTGATTGTTAAGCTTTTTAGCCAAACTTTTAAGGGCATATAAGTTGAAATATTTACGTCTAGCCTTAACATCGCTTGAGCTATAAAGTGATAATAAAATTTCCGAATCTTCCAAATCGCAGGCATAATTTATGGCCTTTTTATAGAAATCTGTAAGCTAATAACAAGTATAAAATGTTTTTAAGTCAATTTCCTAGTTAAATCGCTCTTTTACTCACATTAGTTGGTTTATGCGAGCAGCGCATGCAGGCCTCTACAAATGCTGAGCAACCTGGGCTTTTCAAAGCCTGAAATAAGACACATAAGTCCTGCTCGGGTGATTTAGCTAAAGGATTTGCACCATGTTTTAAAGCGCCACGAAATTTTATAATATCACGTTCTGCAAAGGCCTCGTATAGTTGTATCTGTATACAATTTATAATTATAATACTAAAATTATGAATAAATTCTTGAAACCTACTTGACTCTGGGCCCAAAAACGTGTTACCGCCCCAATATTATAATAATTTTCCATTTTTATATTAAAATTATTCCAATCCGTGGTATTAACTGAGTGAAAGTTAAACTTGTAATGAAATATTGATATCAATAAGGACGGAATTATATTAGCTCCGATTGAGTCATAATTTGTGGTGATGAAAAGAAATATTGGATAGAAAATCTCACGGTACTTTTATTTTTCATTATAGTACAATTTAGAGTTTTTTTGCGGTTTTATTTTGCTATGATTAAACATATAATGTAGAACAAAAATACCTAATAAACGTCTTACTTTAGGTTTGTAATCACAATAGATATTCTTATATTTCTTGATAAAATTCATCAGATCTTTAATTGGAACAAGCTAAACTCAATACCAAAGAATAAACAACCCATAGACTGTATAATATTCTTAAGCCCTAGACTATTCTATAGCCCACGCTATTATATAGTTCACACTATAGACTAGACTATTCTATAGCCCAGTCTATAGACTATTCTATAGTCCAGACTATAGACTATTCTATAGTCCAGACTATAGACTATTCTATAGTCCAGACTATAGACTATTCTATAGTTCACACTATAGATTATTCTATAGTCCAGACTATAGACTATTCTATAGTCCTGACTATAGACTATTCTATAGTCCAGACTAAAGACTATTCTATAGTCCTCACTATAGACTATTCTATAGTCCAGACTATAGACTATTCTATAGTCCAGACTATAGACTATTCTATAGTCCAGACTAAAGACTATTCTATAGTCCTCACTATAGACTATTCTATAGTCCAGACTATAGACTATTCTATAGTCCAGACTATAGACTATTCTATAGTCCAGACTATAGACTATTCTATAGTCCAGACTATAGACTATTCTATAGTCCAGACTATAGACTATTCTATAGTCCAGACTATAGACTATTCTATGGTCCAGACTATAGACTATTCTATAGTCCAGACTATAGACTATTCTATAGTCCAGACTATAGACTATTCTATAGTCCAGACTATAGACTATTCTATAGTCCAGACTATAGACTATTCTATAGTCCAGACTATAGACTATTCTATAGTCCAGACTATAGACTATTCTATAGTCCAGACTATAGACTATTCTATAGTCCAGACTATAGATTATTCTATAGTCCAGACTATAGACTATTCTATAGTCTGGACTATAGAATAGTCTATAGTCCAGACTATAGACTATTCTATAGTCCAGACTATAGACTATTCTATAGTCCAGACTATAGACTATTCTATAGTCCAGACTATAGACTATTCTATAGTCCAGACTATAGACTATTCTATAGTCCAGACTATAGACTATTCTATAGTCCAGACTATAGACTATTCTACAGTCCAGACTATAGACTATTCTATAGTCCACACTATAGACTATTATATAGTCCAGACTATTGAATATTCTATAGTCCAGACTATAGACTATTCTATAGTCCAGAATATAGACTATTCTATAGTCCAGACTATAAACTATTCTATAGTCCAGACTATAGACTATTCTATAGTCCAGACTATAGACTATTCTATAGTCCAGACTATAGACTATTCTATAGTCCAGACTATAGACTATTCTATAGTCCAGACTATAGACTATTCTATAGTCCAGACTATAGACTATTCTATAGTCCAGACTATAGACTATTCTATAGTCAGGAATATAGACTATTCTATAGTCCAGAATATAGACTATTCTATAGTCCAGACTATAGAGCATTCTATAGTCCAGGCTATAGAATATTCTATAGTCCAGACTATAGACTATTCTATAGTCCAGACTATAGACTATTCTATAGTCCAGACTATAGACTATTCTATTGTTCAGACTATAGACTATTATACAGTCCAGACTATAGACTATTCTATTGTTCAGACTATAGACTATTATACAGTCCAGACTATAGACTATTCTATAGTCCAGACTATAGACTACTCTATAGTCCAGATTATAGACTACTCTATAGTCCAGACTATAGACTACTCTATAGTCCAGACTATAGGGTACTCTATAGTCCAGACTATAGGCTACTCTATAGTCCAGACTATAGACTACTCTATAGTCCAGACTATAGGCTACTCTATAGTGCAGACTATAGGCTACTCTATAGTCCAGACTATAGATTACTCTATAGTCCAGAGTATAGACTAATCTATAGTCCAGAGTATAGACTAATCTATAGTCTACACTATAGACTATTCTATGGTCCACATTATAGACTATTCTATTGTTTCGATTATAAACTATTCGATATTCCAAACTTTTATATAGTAATTTTTTTCGCCTCTTAAAACCAAACCAAAATATTTTCAAATTAATCATTTAATAATCTAACAATATAATCAGGGTCTCGTTAGTGGTTAAACATTCTGATGACGAATGACAATGTGAATTCTGTTGTTGGCCCATAACATTGTCACTTGTACCCCTTTTAATATGACTGATATGCAACAAAACATGTAGTAGCTTGTAGTTAAGTAATAAATAATTTTCAATTTATATTTAATAAAACAAGAGATTTATCAACATATGTTATAACTATATTTATTTTTTGATTTAACATCTGCCATGTGTCCCAAATATACAAATATACTTCGTACAAGTACTAATAACTCTGATGATAAACTATAAATTAGATTAGAAATATGTTATCGAGCGATACACGAACGTAAAAATAAGTCTAATTATAGATATGATTGCAAAACAGCTTGCAGTCTCGAAAGTCTACTGTATAGAATATAGATTAATATATAGTCTGGACAATAGAATAATATATAGCCTTGAGTATAAAATAGTCTATATCCTGGACTATAGAATAGTCTATAGTCTGGACTATAGAAAAGTCTATAGTCTTGAGTATAAAATAGTCTATAGCCTGGACTATAGAATAGTCTCTAGTCTGAACTATAGAATAGTCTATAGTCTGGACTATAGATTAGTCTATGGTCTGAACTATAGATTAGTCTATAGTCTGGACTATAGAATAGTCTATAGTCTGGACTATAGAATAGTCTATAGTCTGGACTATAGAATAGTCTATAGTCTGGACTATAGAATAGTCTATAGTCTGGACTATAGAATAGTCTATAGTCTGGACTATAGAATAGTCTATAGTCTGGACTATAGAATAGTCTATAGTCTGGACTATAGAACAGTCTATAGTCTGGACTATAGAATAGTCTACAGTCTGGACTATAGAATAGTTTATAGTCTGGACTATAGAATACTCTATAGTCTGGACTATAGAATACTCTATAGTGTGGACTATAGAATAGTCTATCGTCTGGACTATAGAATAGTGTACAGTCTGGACTATAGAATAGCCTCTAGTCTGGACTATAGAACAGTCTATAGTCTGGACTATAGAATCGTTTATAGTCTGGACTATAGAATCGTTTATAGTCTGGACTATAGAATAGTCAATAGTCTATAGTCTGGACTATAGAATAGTCTATAGTCTGGACTATAGAATAGTCTATAGTCTGGACTATAGAATAGTCTATAGTCTGAACTATAGAATAGTCTGTAGTCTGAACTATAGAATAGTCTATAGTCTGAACTATAGAATAGTCTATAGTCTGGACTATAGAATAGTCTATGGTCTGGACCATAGAATAGTCTATAGTCTGAACTATATAATAGTCTATAGTATGGACTATAGTCTGGACTATAGAATATTCAATAGTCTGGACTATATAATAGTCTATAGTCTGGACTATAGAATAGTCTATAGTCTGGACTATAGAATAGTGTATAGTCTGGTCTATAGAATAGTCTATAGTCTGGACTATAGAATAGTCTATAGTCTGGACTATATAATAGCCTATAGTCTGGGCTATAGAATAGTCTATAGTCTGGACTATAGAATAGTGTATAGTCTGGACTATAGAGTAGCCTATAGTCTGGACTATAGAACAGTCTATAGTCTGGACTATAGAGTAGCCTATAGTCTGGACTATAGAACAGTCTATAGTCTGGACTATAGAACAGTCTATAGTCTGGACTATAGAATAGTCTATAGTCTGGACTATAGAATCTATAGTCTGGACTATAGAATAGTCTATAGTCTGAACTATAGAATAGTCTGTAGTCTGAACTATAGAATAGTCTATAGTCTGAACTATAGAATAGTCTATAGTCTGGACTATAGAATAGTCTATGGTCTGGACCATAGAATAGTCTATAGTCTGAACTATATAATAGTCTATAGTATGGACTATAAAATAGTCTGTAGTCTGGACTATAGAATAGTCTGGACTATAGAAAAGTCTATTGTCTGGACTATAGAATAGTCTCTGGTCTGGACTATAGAATAGTCTATAGTCTGGACTATAGAATGATCTATAGTTTGCACTATAGAATAGCCTATAGTTTGTACTATATAATAGTATTATATCTACATTACAAAACAGTCTGTAATCTGTACCACAGAATATTTTATAATTTCGTTTACCAAATATTCTATAGTTTCGACTTATCAGTCGAGAGGTGCCAACTTGCGACTGTATTTTGTAACAAAAAAATAAACAACAACCTTTAATATTAATAAAATATTTTAATTGTTTAAGTTAAACTAAAAATTGAGCATGTTAATGTTTAAACAATTTCGTCAGACAATACATTCGTTCATGATCTACAAGTTCAAGTGTAGCTGAGTAAAATTTTACTAAACCGTCGTCTTGTCTATTAATTTGACTGCTATTGCCTCACCAAACCTCACCGGCCATAAAGTATTTATGTAATTGTTGTTTAAAATTGAAACCCCCTTCTAAATTAGTCTTTTTGTTTAAATTGTGTAAAAAGGTCATGAGTTTATGAACATATAATTTTTACATAATTTAAACCATAACCCTAAAAGTGGTCAACTAAAGGTTGGGTTCTTTAAGGAAGGGACCGTTGAAAATGGTTTCTGTTTATTATATTGGAGGAGCCAATTCAGCTTAGCTGAATTATATTTTTTATTAAATATTTTCCTAATTTAGTGTTATTTATTAATAATTTTAGCTTAAAAACTCTATTCAGCTAAGCTGAATAGCATTAGTCTTATTTTCAG